ATCATTTGATTCGACCTTACGTATCCATCGAATTTTACATCTTCTTGCTTCTTAAAAGGTATTCTCATTCATTCACAAGTCGACTCCAGTTTCTGCCTCGCCCGACTTAGTCTCATCATCTTGCCCAGTGGGACAATACCAATACACGAATGTGCTACAGCCTAAGCCTGTCCTTGCTTGAAATGTCCGTCTACCCTTTGACTAAATGGCACTCGTGACAGTGTGACGTTTGCTTGAAATGTCCGTCTACCCTTTGACTAAATGGCACTCGTGACAGTGTGACATTTGGAGGCTTTACACTGAACTGACACAATCCGGATTCGAATCCCGCCGGGGGTTCGAATGAGACCAGTTCAGGTTATAACTGCAGTCCTCTTCAGCCGGGATGAAAATACACTTTTGGAAGCAAGATTGTGTGAAATGCAATGGTATTAGTTAATGCTTTTTAATCACTCCTTCATTAGAACATCAAGCTCAGATGAGTTGAGTTCAGAATGTTGTGATTCTCTGACGATTACTGACCTGATTTTGACAGATGAAATGATTCACGATTGAAGAGACGTTGGTGCTCCGGGCCGATTCCCTGCCCTAAGTTGATGCAGAATAAGCGAAGTCCTTGTAAACTTAACTTGTTAACAAAAAGGTTAAAAGCAAACAAATAAAATCTAGAATAAAAGTCCTATTTAGCATAGGCCGTTGAACTTGATATAAGTAAATGTATTCGTCCTTTTTATTTTAGAGTGAGAAGGGTTAATTGAAGTTTCCCATGACCTTTCCATTGAATTTCACATAGCCTTGTCTTGCCAAAAGTTATCAACGTCCGGATTAAAGTGGACTGCAGACTCATATCATTGCAGGGGAATTTAACTATCAGTCGCCTAAACGAAGTGGGATGAATATATTTCTTATATCTGATATAATGATAGGCTTTACGGCCTACTTATAAACGAAAAATAAGTAATGTATTCGATTTCTATATCAAATACAATTGTGCCTAATCGACAATCTCATTAAAGAATGTCATATGGGAAAATGCATGGCTTTTCTTGAAATCCACATTTGCCCTGTGAACCAAGAGCACTCGTGGTAGTCTGGCGTGTCGAGATTATACGCTTCACTGTCATGGTTCGAGTCCCACTGAGGGTGTTGATAAGACCTAGGCGAGGTCGAAAATGAAATCCATTTTTTGTGAAAGCAAGGCCATTTGATATGCAATGGGAATGTCATGTCTACATATAAGATTGTGCGAAAATTCAACTCTCATCTCAAATGAAATATGATGAATACATCTCATATTTATGATCTACTGATAGGCTCGAAAGCTTACTTATAAATAAAAAATAGTAAAAATACGCCTCAGGATAAAATGTAATTTATTTATAATAAGGCCTTACAGTATGCCACTAGATTATATAAATAAAATGTATTCATTCTATCTGGTTTAAGGTGTAAACATCTCATTTATATTATCTACTGATAGGCTCGAAAGCTTACTACTTATAAATAAAAATAGAAATAATAGGTCTCAGGATAATGTGGGATTTATTTATAACTAGGCTTTCCAGACTTCCAGTAGATTATATAAATAAAATGTATTCACCATATCTGGCTTAAGGTGAAGACATCTCATTTATCTGATCTACTTATAGGCTCGAAAGCTTACTACTTATAAATGAAAAATAGTAAAAATAGGTCTCAGGATAATGTGGGATTTATTTATAACTAGGCCTTCCAGACTGCCACTAGATTATATAAATGACATGTATTCGCTCTATCTGGCTTTAGGTGTAAAGATCTCATTTATATGATCTACTGGTAGTCTCGAAAGCCTAATTCTAATTGAAAAATAATTAATGCAGTCGATTGCCATAACAAATACACTCTTTCCCTGGGTCTCATTAGCCCGCAGAATGAGAATTGAATTTCGATTGTGATTGAGCAGCACATAATTGTGTCCTATTACCACTACACCACTCCGAAAAGAGGATTATTCTGGTCACATATAGTCGCCATTGCAGTGGCAAACAGTACTTGTATTCATTTTGATTGGGATTTCAAGACTTTCAATAAATCCTGACCGTATGCTTTGCTCAGTCTGGCTGGCTTAGGTTGAGAAATGAACAATCATGTTGACTATACGCCGATTCATGATCTATTGAAAGTCTCGAGATCCTACTGAAATATATGCATAAGTATAAAATATAGCTGTATTTGAAATAAGTCTCTTAGTGAGTTGCTGTCAGCTGATTTTCCATTTTGGAGCAAAAGTTGGTTGGAAGAAATTGGTGAATTGAACTGACCGTAAATCGAAAGAGGCTTGTCACGGAGTGAAGTGAAGTCCGTTGGATTGTGTGTATAGGTCCTCGGCTCGCTGATATGCAACTAATAAATTCCGGCTAAACTTTTGTCTGTCCCGTCGTGACGAACATCATCAAAGTAAGACTGCATAGTTTTACGAACAGACTAAATCATATTTTTCGAATAAAGTATTGTTTTCGTGACTACCGGTAAATCAGTAGTATGACATGTATTCACCCAATTTCGTTTAAAGTGATGAAGGACTGGTAGAAGAAGAAATTTCCCACAATGATATGAGTTTAGCTGACGTTTCCATTCAATTTCACGTTGCCTTGCTTTGCCAAAAGTTGTTCTCATCCTTAAACAAAATTGGGTGAACACATCTCATATTGAGAATTCACTTTATTTTTGAATTGAGTATTGTTTTAGTGATTAATATGAAATGTATTCACCCAATTTCATTTAAGGTGAACTAACTTTGGTGAATACATCTCAGACTGAATTATAGCACAAGCCTATCGAAAGATCGCAGGACCGTGAGCTGAAGACTTCTTCGCGAAATTCGTCAGTTAATACATTTTCAGTTTCCGGTAAGACCAATTGACAAATTCTTTCAAGTTAATCTTTCTTTCCAAATGAAAAGCTGAGTCACAAATGAAATCTCCACTTTTGGCTATCCCGTGACGGGCCTCTGGTCACTTGGGCGGAATGCCTTCAGAGACGCACAAGTGATGATGATAAAGAAAGTTGATTAACATAAATCCATTGAATATTGTGGATAAGCCAAGAATATACATTAAAATCAAACCAAAATAAAGGCATAGTTTGTATGCACAATCTTGGCGCCAGCGTAAGAATGGAATACGTGAACAGTTCCTGTGTTCGTCGCGTTTATGCTCGAGTTTTGGGAAAAATTCCAATGAAAAATATCGAAATAATTAATCTTTGTTCGAACGGAATTTGGGTTCAAGTTGGTCTGGTGTCGGTGGAATCTGTTGATATGGTTGAAAGGGGAATGGCATGGTCGCCTTGAGTAGTGATGTGCCCGTTGTCATGTGGACAAACCTTTTGATAGAAGCCAATTTGCGACAGAAGGTGAGTATTGAAGAAGATTGGGCCTCAAATAGTGTGAATATGCACTGTAAGCATACAGCTGGATAGGCCATTATGAGATACGAGTCTGGATAAATTGGCAAATTTGTGGATGGATGTGGGAAAAAATAGAGAGAGACAAAATGGTGGGCGCATAGAAAGCTGGATAGGTGCAGTAAAATGTGATTACGGACAGAAGGATGAATAGACGACTGATGTCTCCGACAGGAAAATAGAGACAGACGTGCTAGAGCGATGTGTAGAAATAAATATGAATATGTGCATAAAAATGATGATTCGGTATAGCAATAGATGGTAGATGGATATATGACTGGAATAAGGAATAAGGCTATCTACTGTGAAATACGGAGGAATGTCGTGTGACAGTTAGGACATTGTGGATAAGCGGGTATGCGTGAATGTATATGTTTGTACTTATCTGCAACCGGATCTCCTGGCGATGGTATTATTGAAGAGTCAAAGGGTTTAATGCCAGGCGGCTTCCGAGGGTTCGGTTCTAGAAACGAGTCCGGTTTTCGAGACGACCTGGAAGGTTGAGATGAAAACAACTGATGGCCTAGACAAAAAATACACACACACACTCAGGCACAGAGTTGTGAAAGCAATCTTTGGTTTCTAGTTGCAAAGTTGGAGAAATCGATATATTATATTCTGTGGTGTGATCAGTGAAGCATGTGAAGAGGAGACTAACAATGAGGTGTGAATTAAGTGGTCTGAATTCGCTGTTTAGGTGTGCCGATGATGTAGGCCGATCCAGCTTGATCCAGATCTAAATTTGAGTCCGGTTTTCGAAACGATCCGGGTTGGCAGGAGGAGAAAGTACGAGAGTTCATTACTCCCCCTCCACACACACACACACACGCACGCATGCCAGAGTTGTGAAAGCAAGTTTGGGTTCCTAGTTGCAAAGTTGGAGAAATCGATATATTCTATTATGTGGTGTGAGAAGTGAAATGTATGCTTAGGAGACCAACAATGAGGTGTGGATCTAAGCGTTCTGAATTTGCCGCGTAGATGTGCCGATGATGTAGGCTGATCCAGCTTGATCCAGATCCAAATTTGGGTCCGGTTTTCGAAACGATCCGGGTTGGCGGGAGGAGAAAGTACGAGAGTTCATTACTCCCCCTCCACACACACACACACACACGCATGCCAGAGTTGTGAAAGCAAGTTTGGGTTCCTAGTTGCAAAGTTGGAGAAATCGATATATTCTAATATGTGGTGTGATAAATGAAATGTGTGATTAGGAGACCTACAATGAGATGTGGATCCAAGTGGTCTGAATTTGCCGTGTAGGTGTGCCGATGATGTAGGCCGATCCAGCTTGATCCAGATCCAAATTTGGGTCCGGTTTTCGAAACGATTCGGGTTGGCGGGAGAAATTCATTACTCCCACTCCACACACACACACACACACACACACACACATACACACATACACACATACACACCCACGTAAATGCGGCTTTCTAGTCGCGGAATCGACGAAATGTGGCAGGAATATGCTTTGAATAGGCAAGTGGAATTGGTTGAGAAGAGGCTGATGACAACGACATGCGAGACGGAAATCCTGTCCGTGCCGCCTCGACATGTCAAGGTGTGTCGCGGGTGTTGAAGGAGTGTGTATGCTGGGAGAGCCGAATGTGTGTGTAGCACTATTGGCCGTGGAGGCATTTGCAGGTGAGGAAGGCGATGAAGACGGCGAAAAGCGAGACGATGCTGCCGGCGAACGAGGCGAGAAACGACCAAGCCGGCAGGATCCACCAGGCGAAGATGAGATTGCCGAACAGGCAGGAGAGTGCACCGACGCCGAGAAGAAGCATCTTGACGCTGCCCAGAATCGGGCCGGGCAGCAGACTTTTGGCCCAGAGACCGCAAAAGTCCACCACCATCACGAGGCTGAGCAAGAAGACGCCGACGAAGAGGAGAGCAAGCACCACGAGGATGGGCAACGAGTGGAAACAGCCGCCGTGCAACAGACTGCCGCAATGCCAGTGTCGTGTCGCCAGACCGGAGATGAGCAGTCCCACGCCGAGCACCAGAAGTGGTAGATACAGCCGATGCGGCTCGACCAGTGTGTGTCCCATGTCGAGAGATGGGGATCTGACAGACGATCGGATCACGGCGACTGTGTTGAATCGGCGTCCGGGACGAGTAGA